GGTCTTAGGCACCAGCGGTTCCGACCCCCCCCTCCCGCCCTCCGCGCCGCACCCGAGTGGCCCCCAGCCTAGCGGGCCCCCACCTCCCGGCCCGGCCTGGGCCCTCCTGTGCCTCCCTTGGCCTTTGTCCGGCGCCAGGAGGCCGGTCTCGCGCCCCCCGAGGCCGCCCGGGCCCGGGCCCGCGTCGGGCGCCTGGCTCTGTACGCGAGCCCGGGGATCTGCGGCCTCCGCGGCCCCCCTCCCCCGCCCGCCCTCTCGTGGAGCCCGGCGCCGGCGGCGGCTGCCTGGGCGGGGGGTTGCGGCGCTCAGGAGAGGCCCCGGCTCCGCCCCGGGCCTGCCCAGGGGGAGAGCGAAGCGGCCCGCAGCCGGGTCGGGTCGGGGCCCCTCCCTGGAGGAGCGTGGAGCGGCGGCGGCGGCGGCGGCGGCAGGTGAGAGGCTGAGCCCCAGGCGGGGGAGGGCGCTGGGCCTGCGGCATTAACCGTCCTGGGGACCCCTTCGGCCTGAGGAGCCTGCGACCCAGGCCCACCCTGAGGCCGGCGCTGAACCGCAGCTTCTTGGCGCTGAGGCGGGAGGGGCTTCCCGAGGGCTGCGGGTCGCCGAGGGGCCGGGCCGAAGATGGGGGAGGCCCAAGCGGCCCCGGCCTGGGAGTGGGGCAGGCGACCGGCGGAGAGAGGGGGGCGCCCCGGCAGCTGGAGGCCCCGGCAGCCTCCCGGGCGCCCCCGAGAGCTGGCCCTCCCTTCCTCCGTGACAGGTGGGCCTGGAGTTGGGGAAAGTTTGGAGCCGGCGAGGGGCGCCGGGGCCAGGCCCCATCGGTCCTGCTTCCCGGCTGTGGGCTACAGGGAGGATCCCAGTTCAAGGCCCGACTGGAATGAGACAGGGTGGATATTTCCTTAACATGAGTTGACATTAAATGGAATAACCGCTGGGGCGTCATTTTCTGTGCCAGGCCTGGGGATGGAGGTTTGGGAAATGTTGTGAGAGACCTTGGGGTTTGGGAGAGACTACAACCTCTGCCATTCCGACCTCGATTAGGGCAGGGCCAGACGAGAGGAAGGCCACTCAGGGGAAACTCACTCTCTGTCTCCTTTTTTCTTTCTTTTTCTATTTTAAAAGATACCTTTCAACCCTTCTGAGAATTTCCTAATTCCCATTCTAACCTGTACTTGTAAGTGTAGGTGAAACTTTAATTTGTCACCCTTTCATTCCCCTTTGCCCCAGGCTCTCAATCCAGGAAGGGAAATGAAACTGGAAGACTTGTAGGGGGCTGTTACTGCAGATTGTGGAGTTGTTCGATTGCAGAGAATGTTTGATTAACGTTTTCACTGAATTTTAAAATCACGCCAATCATTCCAATAGCTACTTAATATGTTTGAAGGGGTTCTGTGTAATGATACATGTTCCTTTTCCACTTCTAATATTAAAGAGAGGCTTTCAGTAGGTCGTGCAAGAGTTGATCTCTTGCAAAGGATGTACATATTTGCTGAAAGTAGCCTGTGCATTAATTGGTCGTGGAAGGAGTTTAAAAATGGTGTCCTCCTGCCCCTCCCTGCTTGGAAGGACTGCTAAAAGCAGATGTCCAGAGAAACCTACTGCTCCAGGGAGTGGTCAGAAAAAGATTTTGTAAAGGGATTGTTATGGAGCTATATTAATTTCCTGAGTGAATGCAGG